CATTCTCCCAGTGAGTAATTAGTACCAGTAAAACCATTCTCCCAGTGAGTAATTAGTACCAGTAAAACCATTCTCCCAGAAACCATTCTCCCAGTGAGTAATTAGTACCAGTAAAACCATTCTCCCAGTGAGTAATTAGTACCAGTAAAACCATTCTCCCAGTGAGTAATTAGTACCAGTAAAACCATTCTCCCAGTGAGTAATTAGTACCAGTAAAACCATTCTCCCCGTGAGTAATTAGTACCAGTAAAACCATTCTCCCAGTGAGTAATTAGTACCAGTAAAACCATTCTCCCAGTGAGTAATTAGTGCCAGTAAAAGCATTCTCCCAGTGAGTAATTAGTACCAGTGCGACAATTCTCCCAGTGAGTAATTAGTACCAGTAAAACCATTCTCCCAGTACCAGTAAAACCATTCTCCCAGTGAGTAATTAGTACCAGTAAAACCATTCTCCCAGTGAGTATTTAGTACCAGTAAAACCATTCTCCCAGTGAGTAATTAGTACCAGTAAAACCATTCTCCCAGTGAGTAATTAGTACCAGTAAAACCATTCTCCCAGTGAGTAATTAGTACCAGTAAAACCATTCTCCCAGTGAGTAATTAGTACCAGTAAAACCATTCTCCCAGTGAGTAATTAGTACCAGTAAAACCATTCTCCCAGTGAGTAATCTGTACCAGTAAAACCATTCTCCCAGTGAGTAATTAGTACCAGTAAAACCATTCTCCCAGTGAGTAATTAGTACCAGTAAAACCATTCTCCCAGTGAGTAATTAGTACCAGTAAAACCATTCTCCCAGTGAGTAATTAGTAGTAATTAGTACAGTAAAACCATTCTCCCAGTGAGTAATTAGTACCAGTAAAACCATTCTCCCAGTGAGTAATTAGTACCAGTAAAACCATTCTCCCAGTGAGTAATTAGTACCAGTAAAACCATTCTCCCAGTGAGTAATTAGTACCAGTAAAACCATTCTCCCAGTGAGTAATTAGTACCAGTAAAACCATTCTCCCAGTGAGTAATTAGTACCAGTAAAACCATTCTCCCAGTGAGTAATTAGTACCAGTAAAACCATTCTCCCAGTGAGTAATTAGTACCAGTAAAACCATTCTCCCAGTGAGTAATTAGTACCAGTAAAACCATTCTCCCAGTGAGTAATTAGTACCAGTAAAACCATTCTCCCAGTGAGTAATTAGTACCAGTAAAACCATTCTCCCAGTGAGTAATTAGTACCAGTAAAACCATTCTCCCAGTGAGTAATTAGTACCAGTAAAACCATTCTCCCAGTGAGTAATTAGTACCAGTAAAACCATTCTCCCAGTGAGTAATTAGTACCAGTAAAACCATTCTCCCAGTGAGTAATTAGTACCAGTAAAACCATTCTCACAGTGAGTAATAAGTACCAGTAAAACCATTCTCCCAGTGAGTAATTAGTAGTCCAGTAAAACCATTCTCCCAGTGAGTAATTAGTACCAGTAAAACCATTCTCCCAGTAAGTAGTTAGACCAGTAAAACCATTCTCCCAGTGAGTAATTAGTACCAGTAAAACCATTCTCCCAGTGAGTAGTTAGACCAGTAAAACCATTCTCCCAGTGAGTAATTAGTACCAGTAAAACCATTCTCCCAGTAAGTAGTTAGACCAGTAAAACCATTCTCCCAGTGAGTAATTAGTACCAGTGCGACAATTCTCCCAGTGAGTAATTAGTACCAGTAAAACCATTCTCCCAGTGAGTAATTAGTACCAGTGCGACAATTCTCCCAGTGAGTAATTAGTACCAGTAAAACCATTCTCCCAGTGAGTAATTAGTACCAGTAAAACCATTCTCCCAGTGAGTAATTAGTACCAGTAAAACCATTCTCCCAGTGAGTAATTAGTACCAGTACCATTCTCCCAGTGAGTAATTAGTACCAGTAAAACCCCAGTGAGTAATTAGTACCAGTGATTCTCCCTCCCCGTGAGTAATTAGTACCAGTCCCACCATTCTCCCAGTGAGTAATTAGTACCAGTAAAACCATTCTCCCAGTGAGTAATTAGTACCAGTAAAACCATTCTCCCAGTGAGTAATTAGTACCAGTAAAACCATTCTCCCAGTGAGTAATTAGTACCAGTGCGACAATTCTCCCAGTGAGTAATTAGTACCAGTAAAACCATTCTCCCAGTGAGTAATTAGTACCAGTAAAACCATTCTCCCAGTGAGTAATTAGTACCAGTAAAACCATTCTCCCAGTACCAGTGCGACAATTCTCCCAGTGAGTAATTAGTGCCAGTAAAAGCATTCTCCCCGTGAGTAATTAGTACCAGTGCGACAATTCTCCCAGTGAGTAATTAGTGCCAGTAAAAGCATTCTCCCCGTGAGTAATTAGTACCAGTGCGACAATTCTCCCAGTGAGTAATTAGTACCAGTAAAACCATTCTCCCAGTGAGTAATTAGTACCAGTGCGACAATTCTCCCAGTGAGTAATTAGTACCAGTAAAACCATTCTCCCAGTGAGTAATTAGTACCAGTAAAACCATTCTCCCAGTGAGTAATTTGTACCAGTAAAAGCATTCTCCCAGTGAGTAATTAGTACCAGTAAAAGCATTCTCCCAGTGAGTAATTAGTACCAGTAAAACCATTCTCCCAGTGAGTAATTAGTACCAGTAAAACCATTCTCCCAGTGAGTAATTAGTACCAGTGAAACCATTCTCCCAGTGGAAGGGCGAAACAGCTGTATGATGTAGCATGATTAACGTGTCCTGAAAGGATGAAATAGCTGTATGATGTAGCATGATTGACGAGTCCTCGAAGGACGATACAGCTGTATGATGTAGCATGATTGACGTGTCCTGGAAGGACGAAACAGCTGTATGATGTAGCATGATTGACGTGTCCTGGAAGGACGAAACAGCTGTATGATGTAGCATGATTGACGTGTCCTGGAAGGACGAAACAGCTGTATGATGTAGCATGATTGACGTGTCCTGGAAGGACGAAACAGCTGTATGATGTAGCATGATTGACGAGTCCTGGAAGGACGAAACAGCTGTATGATGTAGCATGATTGACGAGTCCTCGAAGGACGATACAGCTGTATGATGTAGCATGATTGACGTGTCCTGGAAGGACGAAACAGCTGTATGATGTAGCATCACTGACGTGTCCTGGAAGGACGAAACAGCTGTATGATGTAGCATCACTGACGTGTCCTGGAAGGACGAAACAGCTGTATGATGTAGCATCACTGACGTGTCCTGGAAGGACGAAACAGCTGTATGATGTAGCATGATTGACAAGTCCTGGAAGCACGATTCAGCTGTATGATGCAATTTAATTCATTGTTTGGCTCTACTATATATATTCTTACCTGTCATGTATGCCCGGTATGCGAAAAGTAAAAGTTTTATATTAAAGACAAAAATAAATTAAAGCAGAACAGAAGCGATATTGAAAACAAATAGTTTATTGTATTCATCCTTATAACTAACCAATATGGATCGAGGGGTCCCCGTTTCTCCTACTGAAATCAAATAGTTTTGACTATGGATAGGTTTATAAAGTGGTCTTATACTGTTACGCTTTAACGAACCGTCGCTATCTTATGTCAAAGTCCCCGGGTCTTCAGATATAACTAAAGCTATTAAAATTATTTGAATATCGATATCCCTGGCGATGTGCCGGAATAACGTCTGCTATATAGCAGTACAAATGCCTCCAGCTTTAGACATATTTTTGAAATATGAGGTCAACTGAATTTAGATAACAAATTCCAGGCTTGAGATAAAGCGATATTGCTCCCATTTATGACATTTATGTACAGATTGTGCATCTCGGTTCTCTACACCAAATGAGCTGCGTTATCATAACCACGCTGGCCTACCATTGCATGCCTATGTCAATGACCCACCCATTAAGCAGTGAAAAACACGTGTTTACCAGTGTTTGGTGCAAGTCAACGTTTGGTCTAGTAATTAATAATTATGTAATATGGCAGCAGTGGTAAACATAGAGGGTAATAAGTCAATCTGGTAAGACAGCCTATTTCTCTCAAATGTGTGCTCTGGTTATCGCAGGAAGTATATGAGCAATACGCAAAGTTTGTTCATTTTGGGAATCAGCTCAACATTTCATTTTGGTGTATATGTTTGTAACAATATTACTTCAGGATGCTTATGATCTTGCTATGACAACAAAACATGGATGCACACTGAATTTAAGGATTACGGATAGAAATAGACTGTGAACGTGATAGAAGCTTTTGGGGGTGGGGGTGCAATTCACGTTGACATAAAGCGCAGTGTTGATTTATGATTTCTTTTTCATTTCGCATTTTCACCTTTAAAAACACATAAGAATATACAAACATATCAACACAACCCAAACTCAAATTCAATCAAACATTAAAAAAACGAACAAAAGAAAGATTTACACGAAGAGTCCGGAAAAAAGTACAAGGGTAATAAGACCAGGTGTGCCGGAAGACTAAGCGTCTTATGCTTTGCAGTCTATTTTTATCCTTAAACTACAGCGTGTTTGCCAGTTTTATTGTGATAACAACATGATAGATATCCTAAAGTAATAATGTAATTCTTCATTTATGTAAAGCTGTGTGTGTAAAGGAGAAAAAAACATTTTGCGAGACTGTGAAAACATATTTAGGTACAACCCATCTACTGGTGTTAAATGTGAATGCCTTGCTGCGTCAGTACACATATCAAACACCTCAAACCCTTGTGTATCCATTCATATAGACCATCATAGCCCCACGTCAACACGTTTACCATCCACTCCCTTCCCACCCCCTCCCCACACCCCTTTCCCGAATGTTGGTATTAAAACGGTGTAACTGCTACACTTTACCTAGAAATGATACAAGCAGAGTTATGATAGCAACTTTGACCTGAAACTACCACCGAGAACACTTGGCGTAAAATCACAGCTCTGGTCAAGCGATCGATACAGAAACCAGATAGAACGGTCATTAAGATACATATTGTCATATAATTGAAATGTTTACGACATCCTACCTCGAAATGTTCCACTTTAGTGTCAAACATTTTGTGCTTGTTCCCGAGATCGTACAACATGTTGTATAAATTTCCTGGCTTATGTAGTCTAGCTATTCCCTTTTCGATTGTGCCCATCACACGCAGGCCGTGTTCTCGTAACCGAACATTGCTCCGAAGCTCATCCGAATTTAACCCTCGAAAAGGCACAAATAAATCCTGTAAGTCTGGATGTTTCTCGAACAATCTGCAGAATAGAAAAGAGAAGAGAATTTCTCAATGAATGTAGAAAAATGGATACAAACTAAGTAATTTCTTAATGTACAATGTTATGTACTCAATGATTGAACAAAAGACACGTAAGTGAAAATCACCATTTTATACAAATTCAGATAAACTACAGCAGAGCCACACAATGAATTAAGCTACATCGTCCTTCTAGGCCTTGTCGGTGATGTTAAGGCATAGTTTCTTAATATTGAATTTCAATTTGGGTTCGAAAAAAATAGATTTAGCTATTCACATTTACGACTGTTTGAAAAGTCTCCATTATTGATAAATTGTAGCCGTAATGACATGACAAAATTCAGTTATAGATACAGGTTTGATTTCTTTATCATACTATATTGTTAATTACAGTTTGATAGAGTACGCCGTTATATAAAGTACACCGGTCTATGTATTAGGACTAACCCCATCTCACCAACAAGGGAGTGTCACTAATGAATATTTATCATCTCTTACCCTGCTGCCTTTATTTGTTAATCGTATGTGGGGTTTGGTTTGCCATTGTTGACGTAACGTCAGTGAATCATTGCTCTGACGTCATATCATTGTCCCGACAGAGACAAGGTCTACCAAATCATCATAATCCATGACAACAAAATCACAAGACTGTATAAGTTATGGCTTGGTACTAATACTCGTTACTTTGGTGACAACACGTGAATGTGGATAATCGTTTCTGAGGTTATAAGACGGGGCATACTGGTAGAATATTTTTTTCTTTCTCAACGGCAGAAAGTGTGACGATTCATTCTTTGATTGGGAAACTCCGTCCCTTTCCCGCAAAACAGCATTTAAGTGCAATAAGTCACCTCAATCGTGCTACACTCCATCTTTAATTCCTTAATTGCAATACTCCGTCTCTTACACTTTGTCCCTTACACTTCGTCCCTTACACTCCGTCCCTTACACTCTGTCCCTCCCACTCCGTCCCTTACTCTCCGTCCCTTACTCTCCGTCCCTCCCACTCCGTCCCTTCCACTCCGTCCCTCACACTCCGTCCCTCACAGTCCATCCCTCACTCTCCATCCCTTACACTCCATCCCTTATTCTCCGTCCCTCCCACTCCATCCCTCCCACTCCGTCTCTTACTCTCCGTCCCTCCCACTCCGTCCCTTACACTCCGTCCCTTCCTCTCCGTCCCTCCCACTCCGTCCCTTACTCTCCGTCCCTCCCACTCCGTCCCTCCCACTCCGTCTCTTACTCTCCGTCCCTCCCACTCCGTCCCTTACACTCCGTCCCTTCCTCTCCGTCCCTCCCACTCCGTCCCTTACACTCCGTCCCTTACACTCCGTCCCTCCCACTCCGTCCCTTACTCTCCGTCCCTTACTCTCCGTCCCTCCCACTCCGTCCCTTACACTCCGTCCCTCACACTCCGTCCCTCACAGTCCATCCCTCACTCTCCATCCCTTACACTCCATCCCTTACTCTCCGTCCCTCCCACTCCGTCCCTCCCACTCCGTCCCTCACACTCCGTCCCTTACACTCCGTCCCTTACACTCCGTCCCTTACACTCCGTCCCTTACACTCCGTCCCTTCCTCTCCGTCCCTCCCACTCCGTCCCTCCCACTCCGTCCCTCCCACTCCGTCCCTCCCACTCCGTCCCTCCCACTCCGTCCCTTCCTCTCCGTCCCTCCCACTCCGTCCCTCCCACTCCGTCCCTTCCTCTCCGTCCCTCCCACTCCGTCCCTCCCACTCCGTCGCTTACTCTCCGTCCCTCCCACTCCGTCCCTCACACTCCGTCCCTCCCACTCCGTCCCTCACACTCCGTCCCTTACACTCCGTCCCTCCCACTCCGTCCCTCCCACTCCGTCCCTCCCACTCCGTCCCTCCCACTCCGTCCCTCCCACTCCGTCCCTCCCACTCCGTCCCTCCCACTCCGTCCCTCCCACCGTCCCTCCCACTCCGTCCCTCCCACTCCGTCCCTCCCACTCCGTCTCTTACTCTCCGTCCCTCCCACTCCGTCCCTCCCACTCCGTCCCTCCCACTCCGTCCCTCCCACCGTCCCTCCCACTCCGTCCCTCCCACTCCGTCCCTCCTCCCACTCCGTCTCTTACTCTCCGTCCCTCCCACTCCGTCCCTTACACTCCGTCACTTACTCTCCGTCCCTCCCACTCCGTCCCTCACACTCCGTCCCTTACTCTCCGTCCCTCACTCTCCGTCCCTCCCACTCCGTCCCTTACTCTCCGTCCCTCACACTCCGTCCCTCCCACTCCGTCCCTTACTCTCCGTCCCTCCCACTCCGTCCCTCCCACTCCGTCCCTCCCACTCCGTCCCTCCCACCGTCCCTCCCACTCCGTCCCTCCCACTCCGTCCCTCCCACTCCGTCTCTTACTCTCCGTCCCTCCCACTCCGTCCCTTACTCTCCGTCCCTCCCACTCCGTCCCTCCCACTCCGTCCCTTACTCTCCGTCCCTCACTCTCCGTCCCTCCCACTCCGTCCCTTACTCTCCGTCCCTCACACTCCGTCCCTCCCACTCCGTCCCTTACTCTCCGTCCCTCCCACTCCGTCCCTCCCACTCCGTCCCTCCCACTCCGTCCCTCCCACTCCGTCCCTCCCACTCCGTCCCTCCCACTCCGTCCCTCCCACTCCATACTTTTCTACATGAGACATTCATTTACCTGCAAAAATGTATACACCGATACCCTAATATTCAACTTTAAAAATCCATCTTTAAATTACACACCTCGATATTCAACAATTTTACATTTCCACATGCAACACTCCATTTTGACGTGGATACTCTTTCTCTATATCCATCTTATATCTGCACTCCGTTCTTAGTGTGTAACAAATGATCCTGCATCACGTCATCCTATATGTACAATGATGATGTCAGGTTGTCTGTCATTACTTCTTTTCCATTCATCTGTATCTAGCGAAAGTTCGTACTATTAAAATTTGTTCCCGTGACACTATATTTATAACTCCGCGTCATCACCCTGCATCTGCGTCTAAGGGAAGAAACATGAAATTGATTTCACAAAAGTCACACCTTTCGATTACCCCGTCAATTCAGTACGAAATAGTTACACTGCTTTGTCCTATTTCTTCATGCCCCGTTTTAATTTATTAACAAGTGGCACGTTTCAGAATATAAATGTACTTGACGTTCTCTTGAAATATACTGGTTAAGTGCACCTCTCCATCTTCTTATTGATATTTTTGATTCCCTCATTTACTTACAATCTTTCAACAATTTAGGTCCCCGTAGAATCATTAACGAAGTTTACAAGGATGGAACAGCTGTTTGGTGCAGTTCAATTAATGATTTGTATCCACCATATCTATCGCTAAATTTGTATTGAAAAATGCTATTTTGTACAATGTTCGGGATTGCAGGTTGTACATGTAGACTGTTGGACTGTCAGTGTTGGTCTACATCATACAGACATGTAGTTCTATTTGTCCAAGTCGATCATACATAATGCCTTGAAGATGACGGTTGGTAACGAAATCTACATTATTTGCGGTTTGTCTGAAACCTTTTGACTTATGGGAGTAAAGACTTACTGGTTTCCAAATACATGTTGTATCCTAAATAGTACATGGTACTTTCTATATGGTTCTCTGTCCAGTAGGCAATAATAATCTTTTATGGGAGTAATGGCGTCAGAGCTGTCATACTGTATCTAAACATTATACTTTACACTGTTCTTATGCCTCAAGTGGATATGACATCGTACAAGTCTCGTGAGTGCCAATAGTTCTAGATCTCGTAGTCACCATCATCACTGAGGTGCTCACCTTCGTATCCTGCTGCCAATTATATTTGGTATGTGCCACAGGGTATTGTTCGAAGGTATTCCATGTCTAACTTTGGAATGTTACAATTCTTCGCAGTAGCATCAAATAGTCACTTGTCCCTTCTGGTAAGATCTGATTCATTTTGCACTAGCTAAGCTAAGTTGTTGTGAACACTAAGCCGCGCTTTCATTTTGACAGCCAGCATCCTATCCTTTATGTCTCGCTCTTGCGTTCCAATATATATGGGTCTTCTGATTCCATTATTATTCTAACGAGTGCCTCGATGACATCAATGAAATAGTTGGAGGCATGTTGTGTTTTGAAAAACAGCAGTTGTTTGAATCGTCCGTGATATGACGCCACTACCCATCTGGATCTACCAAGGTTAGTTTGCAGGTCTTCGTATTGAGTCTGTCCAGATTTTCGATAAGACGGCATATTTGTTGTCAAACCACTTGATTCCAAATTTGGCAAAACATCCCTAAACCCTCGATCAATAACGACGTTGTCATCTTTCTCCAGCCGGGAGAGACCATCCATGATGACTTTTGTAACCTTCGCATCGTTCTCGCTTCCAGGAAAAAGGTCCTACTGTGTCAAAAATGTAACCATCAGACAGGGCTATGCTCATGAACTTCAAATAGTTCCGCTTCTTCTGACCAAAGTAGGAGATTATCTGGAGCTGATGATCAAAACTCTTAGGAATACAGATATATGTACCGTCAAGTATGACAGTCGCCCGCTGGCCCAAACTGAGAACACAGTGCTGTGCTCCAGAACATATTCTCATGAAAGATGTTCACGTGAAAGGAAGATGAAGGAACAATGGTTATTTCTAATGTTTTTCCTATGGAATGAAATGTTTTTGTTATACTGCAAATGTTTAAAAGAGTTGAACACTGTTTCCATAATAGGTCCGTTTTCGTCTTTACCCAAAAACCACAGTAGTGCATCCTCGTGGTGGGGAGTATAAATACCAGTAGAGAATGAACAATAAGAAAGAGTTTTCAGAAACTGTGTTCTTATCCAACCAGTCCAGGCTTTACAATCTGCATCATCCAGAGATGAGAAACGCAGAGTAAAAGAAGACTCCTGTTTGATAGCCTATGTGATATCTCCAAAAGATCGTTGATTATTTCCTTTGATCAGGAAGTCAACATTTCTCTTTCATCAGTGCGTATTTCAACTTTAGGGTTAAGAACTTTCCCTATGAGATGATGTGAACAAATACTTGAGGACCAAGGACACCACAGTTTTCATGAAAGACATGGGAAATATGGTCGAGTTTTGATTGAAACTCTTCATGCATAGAATGCATTTTGCATGGGAAAATATAATATATATATAATACATTCTCTATGGATAATAGTGGGCTGTTTTGCAACGTATCATCATCAACACCAACGCTTTGACCTTCAGGTTTTGACTATCTTTATTAACGATTCTCATAACATTTAACACACATACCAATCTCTTGGTCATCAGTGCTATATACTTGGAAGTATGTATATGTGTATGTGTTTGTAGACGTACGACTAGCGAGGCTACCAATAGCACATAGAAGCTGTTGTATTTGTTTCTTCGATGATTTTGAAACTCAACCTTAATTGAATTTTGGGGTTAATGTAAATCCCCCTCTCCTTCCCCCCCCCCCCCCCGCACCGGGAGGTTTTGACATTAATTTTTATTGAATTTTGGGGTTAATGTAAATCCCCCTCTCCTTCCCCCCCCCCCCCCCCCCCCCCCGCACCGGGAGGTTTTGACATTAATTTTTATTGATTTAAATTTTTCTCGGTCGCCACCTTTATCATCACTGATGAGTCCTAAAAGAAAAAAAAGGACTAAATAGTTGCATGATGTACTCTTAATTCCAAATTTATATTGAAATGTGTTATTCCTTTGTGTATCTTCTGTACATTTTTCGTGAACAGTGATTCTGTAGGCGACATTGACGAACACCTGAAGGGATATACGTGAATGTCCTAAAATGGTGCCATTTCTTTTGGACTTGAGACGTGACATCTAAAACGTTACAAATGTACATTAAAGGCTAACACTATTTCTCTATAACCTCAAAGAATTCAATAGTGATTCAATACAATCTAAGGTGCTTCGTCTTGCATATCAATCTTTTAATATTTTAATGTGTTTTTTTTATTTAATCAGCTTTTCTTGTAAATGTCTCACAGATATTTGTGGACATAAATATGATATTTTTCTCCATTAAAGGTGAATAAACCACTTTACAATATCCTGATACTGAATTTAAAAGGCGCAAATTAACAACTCACTTACTTACTTTAAAATCTAACTACATGAGTTGTTATCATTGCGCTTTTTAAATTACATGTAATCCTATAAAATATCATATTTCATGAACGAAGTCACATTTACGTCCACATGTACCTGTGTTGAGTGAAAGTGAAACCTGATCATTCCCTAAGACTAGGTCTACCGAAAACAATTACATCTGAAAACAACACACAAATGTATTAATCAAGTAGAATAGACACTTCGGAAATAGTGTAATTCCAAATGTTATTGAACTTCACGCTGTGATTAGATGTTGGCACCTACATATTTAAGGAATATAGGAGACTGAAATCTACCGAAAATGACTCCGAACAAAAACACATAACAGCTTGCATCGTTTATCTACTGTTAGACTTGAGAGAATGCCTGACAATATCCAGACCGACATGTTTTAGTGCGCTAATGTAGTTCTCTCCCGACTACAAACGATTGAAGTGTAAATAAACGATGGTTATAATGATATCAGGTTTACAGACAAGATAAGGACCTTATAAGGACCATGTAGGTGGGCAAACCATTCTGGCCTCGAGAACAAGAACCATGTAGGTGGACAGGCCATTCTGGCCTCGTGAACAAGGACCATGTAGGCGGGCAGGCCATTCTGGCCTCGTGAACAAGGACCATGTAGGCGGGCAGGCCATTCTGGCCTCGTGAACAAGGACCATGTAGGCGGGCAGGCCATTCTGGCCTCGTGAACAAGGACTGTGTTGGCGGGCAGGCCATTCTGGCCTCGTGAACAAGGACTGTGTTGGCGGGCAGGCCATTCTGGCCTCGAGAACAAGGACCATGTAGGCGGGCAGGCCATTCTGGCCTCGTGAACAAGGATTATGTAGGCGGGCAGGCCATTCTGGCCTCGTGAACAAGGACTATGTAGGCGGGCAGGCCATTCTGGCCTCGTGAACAAGGACCATGTAGGCGGGCAGGCCATTCTGGCCTCGTGAACAAGGACCGTGTAGGCGGGCAGGCCATTCTGGCCTCGAGAACAAGGACTGTGTTGGCGGGCAGGCCATTCTGGCCTCGTGAACAAGGACTGTGTTGGCGGGCAGGCCATTCTGGCCTCGTGAACAAGGACTGTGTTGGCGGGCAGGCCATTCTGGCCTCGAGAACAAGGACCATGTAGGCGGGCAGGCCATTCTGGCCTCGTGAACAAGGACCATCTAGGCAGGCAGGCCATTCAGGCCTCGTGAACAAGGACTATGTAGGCGGGCAGGCCATTCTGGCCTCGTGAACAAGGACTGTGTTGGCGGGCAGGCCATTCTGGCCTCGTGAACAAGGACCATGTAGGCGGGCAGGCCATTCTGGCCTCGTGAACAAGGATTATGTAGGCGGGCAGGCCATTCTGGCCTCGTGAACAAGGACTATGTAGGCGGGCAGGCCATTCTGGCCTCGTGAACAAGGACCATGTAGGCGGGCATGCCATTCTGGCCTCGTGAACAAGGACCGTGTAGGCGGGCAGGCCATTCTGGCCTCGAGAACAAGGACTGTGTTGGCGGGCAGGCCATTCTGGCCTCGAGAACAAGGACTGTGTTGGCGGGCAGGCCATTCTGGCCTCGTGAACAAGGACTGTGTTGGCGGGCAGGCCATTCTGGCCTCGTGAACAAGGACTGTGTTGGCGGGCAGGCCATTCTGGCCTCGAGAACAAGGACCATGTAGGCGGGCAGGCCATTCTGGTCTCGTGAACAAGGACCATCTAGGCAGGCAGGCCATTCAGGCCTCGTGAACAAGGACTATGTAGGCGGGCAGGCCATTCTGGCCTCGTGAACAAGGACTGTGTTGGCGGGCAGGCCATACTGGCCTCGTGAACAAGGACTGTGTTGGCGGGCAGGCCATTCTGGCCTCGAGAATAAGGACCATGTAGGCGGGCAGGCCATTCTGGCCTCGTGAACAAGGATTATGTAGGCGGGCAGGCCATTCTGGCCTCGTGAACAAGGACTATGTAGGCGGGCAGGCCATTCTGGCCTCGTGAACAAGGACCATGTAGGCGGGCAGGCCATTCTGGCCTCGTGAACAAGGACCATGTAGGCGGGCAGGCCATTCTGGCCTCGTGAACAAGGACTGTGTTGGCGGGCAGGCCATTCTGGCCTCGTGAACAAGGACTGTGTTGGCGGGCAGGCCATTCTGGCCTCGTGAACAAGGACTGTGTTGGCGGGCAGGCCATTCTGGCCTCGAGAACAAGGACCATGTAGGCGGGCAGGCCATCCTGGCCTCGTGAACAAGGACTATCTAGGTGGGCAGGCCATTCTGGCCTCGTGAACAAGGACCATGTAGGCGGGCAGGCCATCCTGGCCTCGTGAACAAGGACTGTGTTGGCGGGCAGGCCATTCTGGCCTCGTGAACAAGGACTATGTAGGCGGGCAGGCCATTCTGGCCTCGTGAACAAGGACTGTGTTGGCGGGCAGGCCATTCAGGCTTCGGACTGTTTTTTGTTGATAACAGAAAACAGGGACACGAGAACCTGTAATAGGTCATTGGACGTCAAAAAACAATATTACACCTGTAACGTCATGTTCTCATGTGGACGTCATAACGATATCCCATCTGAACGTCATCTTTTAAGGTGACTATCAGAACAATGTTACACTAGCAATTTTACACTTGTAGCGTCATGTTGTCAGGTGGATGTCATAACAATGTCCCATCTGTAACGTAATGTTGTCAGGTGGATGTCAGAACAATGTCACACCTGTAACGTCATGTTGTCAGGTGGATGTCAGAACAATGTTCCATCTGTAACGTTATGTTCTCAGGTGGATGTCAGAACAATGTCAAACCTGTAACATCATGTTGTCACATGAATGTCAGTAAAATGTCCCTTCTGTAACATGATGTTCTGAGGTACAAGTATCAGTCTGTGTATTCATGTACAGCTCGTCAATTGGCGATTTATATATATCAATTCCCGGTAATTCAGGACTGTCTCCTGAATCACGCCATCAGATTTGTAATGAAACACTTACTCCATGGAATGTGTTTTCATATAAGTACATGTAACAAGCCAAGCCCCAGAATATACGATCGTTAATGACATGCTCAGCGACATACACACATAGATCACCAAATAATACTCCTGTATGGAAGTTAACAATGCCTGTTTCACACCGCCATTGACTATATATTTTCTTACGAATTGACAGTTTCCGGTCGTGGACTTCCAGTTACATAACTATTGTGTTACAAACACTTGATTTGGACAGCAAAACACGATGACCAGCAACACATAACGATGTAAGAGTTGAGAGTCAGACCAGCATGGTGAAAATTAATTAGCACCATTTACACCTTCATCGAAAGTGATTTAAAGCAAGCATGCCGTTATAAACCTGTCAAGTTAGAGTCAACACCAGAACTATGAGGTTATATATCGGTCATGTACGTAAAGTTGTTATCACTGTGTAAATTATGGTAGAGTAAACTGCCAACCACCATGTAGACCCATGAAAACTGTAGTCAAGTAGGTCAGTACCATGTACACTGTGATCAAGTAGGTCAGTACCTTGTACACTGTTGTCAAGTAGGTTAGTACCATGTACACTGTGGTCAAGTAGGTTAGTACCGTGTACATTGTGGTCAAGTAGGTTAGTACCATGTCCACTGTGGTCAAGTAGGTCAGTACCATGTACACTGTGGTCAAGTAGGTCAGTACCGTGTACACTGTTGTCAAGTAGGTCAGTACCGTGTACACTGTTGTCAAGTACGTTAGTACCATGTACACTGTTGTCAAGTAGGTTAGTACCATGTATAGTCCCATGTGCACTGTTGTCAAGTAGGTTAGTACCATGTACACTGTTGTCAAGTAACTTAGTCCCATGTGCACTGTTG